GGGTCTAAAAACAGACCTAAATTAGCTAAAATAATAGCTCACTCCATTTTCTATATAAAAAAGAGCACTTAAATAAATCAAACATAATGAGTCGAACAAGGCTATTACCCGAGTTGATTAACCGACTCCAAAAACTATATGCATATTTCCTCATTAATTCATAAAATGAAGGAATACCAACAGAGACAAACATACCACTAGCACTGCAGTGCTTGGGTTTATGTAACAACATCCTAAGTGAATTGTTATAACAAACTTGTAAGTCCTGAATGGTTTTACCTCTGAAGTTACACCATAAATTAATGCCATATAAATTAGTACAATAAGAACGAAAAATACAACATTTGGTATCAAGAGAACAATTACTAAATCGTCGACAAGTAATATTGGACCTAACACATAAGGACCTGTATTGCCTCTTGATGTCATAATCATCATGCATATCACTAGAAAGTATGTGACCAAGATAAGATACTGATGGTACAAAGCTTCTTATTAAGTAAAGTAATAATAAATTCATCTTTGATTTTTCTATTATTTGAAGAAAATCTCATACACACCGACTTCTTTGTATTGTAAATTACATTACTATGAATTAACAAGATTGTATTACATCAGTATGATTTTACAAAGACGACACGATATCTATATGGGATGCCTGTTTTATTTAAATAATCATATTACAAAAAAAGGCACAATTTACGAATATTTTAATATTGTTGTCGCCATAGTGCAATATACAGTACGCAAGCTGCTGTTCTAGGTGTTGTGGCCACTACAAATGCACACGACAACGTCACAACACTCGCACGATTCTGCTGCAGTAGACAAAGATTTTTTTACAGGTAATATTGAGAACGATTTTTTAAAAAGAATTCAGTACGATGCCACTGCGATATTCAAAAATTGAAAAATCATGCTAAATCATGGCAAAAACTGTGAATGTGTAAAAGGGGAAAACATGAAATGTAGTTGAACATCTTAGATCTCTTGTTAACATGTTTAACATGATGGATATAACATTTCTTTTTCAATTTTTACTGCACCAGCTACTTCCAATCTGCCACTGAGCCTATGCTTGCAACTTTTGGGTATTCCTTATTATATTTTCTTATCATATGACGCTCTGTCATGCCCATAAGCAGCGTACTCGCTAATTGCCAAGATTGTATTACAACGTCAGTATGATTTTACAAAGACGAAAGCACGACATCAAATATGATACTAAGGAGCCTGTTGGATTTAAAATTTGATTGAACATGAACATAAATAATAATTTTAATAATTTACTGTACAGGATTTTATATTGATAAACTTCTCGTTGTGTAATTAATCATCTCAATTCATTTTATTATGCTATGGTTATTGAATAAAATATACCAGAATATATAGTTGTTAAACCGAGTAATTAGCATAAAAATGTGGCAGTATATATATAGTCATGATGTGCCCATATATAGTCATGATGTGCCCATATGTAGTCATGATGTGCTCATATATAGTCATGATGTGCCCATATATAGTCATGATGGGACCATATAGTCATGATGTGCCCATATATAGTCATGATGTGCCCATATATAGTCATGATGTGCCCATATATAGTCATGATGTGCCTATATGAGGATTGCCATCCAAAATCTACTATCACTAATTGTTAATGTTGAACTGAGTAATTAGTGTAAGTATGTGCAGTATTGTATACTTTAGTACAGAGAAGCTGTAATACTTTTACTCATAACTTTGGCAATAGTACTGTAAGTCAATTCTAATAAACTGACCCATAATTTTAAAGCCTGTTTTTGCACTGATGCTTGTTTTGGTATGGCAAGCCCCATATAATCTAATCTCTGCATTATGTAGGCCAGATCCATTTTCTACTTATGTATAATTTTCTTATTTTCTTATTGTACATCCACACTGATGAACTTATTTAATAATAATAATATACTGGAGCATTTCCTTTTTACATTTCTTGAATTAGTTGCCTCCTCATTTATTGTTTCTTGTCTTGTGGTGTATCAATTGCTCTTTTTGTCCACTGCTTCATAATAGCATGGAGGTATTATAGTCAACTGGAGAAACAACATGAATTCAGTCCTTTGACGATCATTCCGACTGTGCTGATAAAAACTGTGGTGACGTGACGTATAGTGGATATAAATGTTTTATAAACATACAGTACATCAATAGACCGTAATATTGTCTCGGATCTCTTTGTAATAGCCTTATCAGCAGATAAACAGCAGTGTTGTTTCTCTAGTTGATTATAATGTCTCTAATGACGATTAAGATAAACATTCCTAATATACACATTTGGTTTAAATATGGTATTTCATAAATTATTCTTTAACTTACCTGAAACCGAGGATGGTAATGAGAGTGATGATGAGAAAAAAACTGGAAATTGCAATTCCAACGATTGTAATCATGGACAAAATTCCAGGTGGCTCATCAAGCTGAATACAAAAATAGGATAAGAAGCATGTTAATGTCAAATTATGAAATGTATATAAGGCTTGACACTTTGACCTGATGATAGTGTCCAAAATCTACTATAAACACGTAATGTGTAATAATGAGCCATTTTCATTATTATAACACTTTTGGTATAAATTATAAGCTGCTCCAGTTTTCTTTCCTTTTTTTTTCCATATTTAAGTTAAATTTATTTTAAACATTATGCATTTATCACTTTGCTTAACTTGACCAAGGCCTATTATGTATTGTGTCTGTATTTTCTTTTTATCTTTGTCAATTTAAAGTCGGAGGTTTGTCCTTGTCTCAGCCCTCAACGTAACTATTAGATAGGCTTGTCCTCATAAGACTTCTATGAATGGATACCTTGATCAAAGCAATAGATCGAGTTGTCTTTACCCACTACCGCTCGGTGGGATTTTCTTCTAGAATTTTAATCCTGATAGTATCTCCCAAACAATTGTAATTTTTGTAATGAATGTCCAATCTTACCGGTTCTTCTTTCATCAAAATGACAAATGACGTCAGGTGAGAACATTTGCACGTCAGGCCACTGACACGGTAGTCATCATACACAGTTTTACATCCGTCAGTTGACCATACACTTAAGAATTAACAGTAATAATTTTTTAGTTAATGTAGACCAGCCATACATATTCCACATGAATTAAAACAGTGGTACAGTACAGTATATCTAGAGGTATTGAAATGGAGGAAGGGGCTGATGAAGGGAAGGTGGCAGAAAAGGGAAGGTGGCAGAAAAAGGGTAGGTGGCAGAAAAAGGGAAGGGGATGATGAAAGGTAAAGTTGGCTCGATAAAATGAGTGGAAGTTAGGCTGGCGAAATAAAGTGCCGTGAGGTGATTTTTAACTAATTGAGCATAATTTTTTTGAATCAAAAATTTCCAACTTGCAGGAGGAGGGGGTCAGTTGGGGCAGACATGTGATACTAAAGTGAAGTATATAGGGCTTGTTTGCAAGCAAATAAGCCATATATACTAATGTGAAGTATATATGGCTTGTTTGCAAGCAAATAAACCATATATACTAATGTGAAGTATATATGGCTTGTTTGCAAGCAAATAAACCATGTGAAGTATATATGGCTTGTTTGCTTGATACGCTGAATGAAACTAGAATATTATGCAATTGTAGTTCTGAGGGTCTATTTATTATTATTATTATTCATGGTATATGTTATTCAAAACGATATAAAAAGGAGAAAGCAATTGACAAAAAATGAATTGTAGCCAAGGTTAAATTGCTCACAATTTACAATCAATTAAAAATTAAGAAAAAGGCATTAAAAATTCACAAACATTTAAAAATTTTAAAGAGAATATAAAAATATAGCATATATTGAGAAAAAAAAAAGTGATAACAACAGGATAAAAATACAAATTTTCAAACACGTGTAAAAATTGATTAAATAAATATTGCAATAATTATAAATAAAAATTACCATAAAATTGAGTGATCAGGATGAGTAGGAGTAATCAAATAACAAATTTGTTTTGCTTTTAGGAATCATGATATTGTTGCTTTGTCTTTGAAATTAAATCTTTTCTGGACATCAAGTTAATTATTATTGTTATTGTTATAATTATATTAATCGTTATTAATTGTTATATTATCGAATTGAGTAATCTTGTGAAGTACGGGATAGGACTATTCTTATATCTGTTCGTTTCGCTTTTAGGTATCGTGATTTTATTGCTTCGTCTCAAATTATATCTTTCCTGTACAATTCTCTCTTCAGGAAGCCACTGTCGAAATTCTGGGTGATTGTACAGTTGTTTGGCAAATCTTGTGCATATCATAACTTGGCGATCGGTAAGTTTTTCAAGTTTAACTATAGCAAGTGCTTGGTCGTAATTATTATATTGGTTTCCAATGATTATACGAATCGCTCGTTTCTGGAGACTTTCTAAATCGTTTGACTGTTGGACAGTTAAGCTGCAGTGCCAGACGAGTGCAGCATACTCGAGTACCGATCTAATATATCCTTTATAGATTGTTACCAGGTCATCAAATGGCAAATTGAATTTTTTCAAGTGCTCAATGTCAAATACATGAAACATATATGCTGCAGCACCTTGACCGCTGATAATTAGTGCCAATAAATTTTCACAAAAACGTGATGCAATAATGATAAGATGATGATTACTGTTTATTTTTGGTAAATATTCCAGCCGCTCCAAATTTCTTTCCTATTCTTTCTTCCTTTGCTTCTTCTATATTTTCATTAAATTCTATTTATTTTAATAAATACATATTTATGCATAATG